CATAAGAAAAAATACTAAACTCACCAAAGCAACAATACAAATATTTCTAGAATTATACTGAAAATGAATAATTAAAAATGACATAAATTGTGGAGGTTTTCTTTTTGCTGATACAACATTGCTTTAAAAGGTTTCTCGGTCAAAACGTCGTTGTAAATTTTCTAGCTTTACTATCCAGTGTTTAAACATTTTATACAGCTTCAGCGCACATATTAATACCAAAGCCTTGTTTTATATTGCTTTAGAGAAGATGAATCCCTTTAAAAGGAGGCAGGCTGTTTTATTTCCCAATAAAATTCTAATTGCAACACTACATGTTAGACTGACTCTGGCTATACACTACAATACCACATCCCCGAATCCAATTAAGAAACCAAGAAATACTCAACTTTTTCCTTTCTGTGCAATTCGAATGGACTATTTGAAAGATCTGTATTGTACATGATTAGTTCCGGTGCAGAGAGATGATAAAAGCCCACAATATCCCAATATTTTAAGTGGAAACAAGAACAGAAGGCTATGTGGCCACGGAATTAATCACACAAATCTGAGAAGATACAGAAATGTTTGGCTTGTGGTTTAAATATACCAACATGATCTTAGCAAGCATAGGTCTTGGGAGGAGGAGGAGGGTGTTCTATTTTTTTCTGACCTTTTCTGGCCAGTGAAATCAATGTATAGTTGCTGCCTCAGAAAAGTTCCACAGAAGAGATAAGATAAATTAAAAAGATGAGTGTAATTTCTGTAAGCTATAGCTTTGGCCAATTTTTCTTCTGGCAATTTTTCTACTGACAAAAAAAAGATATTTACCGTAGGTTACAACAAAAATTTATAATCTCTATTTTGCCTAGGAAAACCTCTATGATGATCTATGTAAATTCTAAAGAGTTTCTGTAAATCCTACTACTTGTTGGTGCACTGGGGCTAAATAAATTGCTCCCTGCACCAGTGAAAAGGAAGCAGAATAAGCTTTAAGACTCATACATAGGAGAAATAAGCAAGCGGCAAATCCTGCTGTCAACTACCATTCATACATGGTTTTCTGGCATTTAATGAAGAGGTGAATTGTTTTATTTATAATTCTCACTGTCTGTTCTTAATGTGACAATGAAACCATGATATGAAAGGGCACAGGAGTATGCAACTCCAACTGCACTAGGATAGATAGAAAGGGTATGCTGAGGATCATCTTGCCAGGCAGTGGCATGTACAAACAGAGCAGCCCTTCCTCAGTGAACTCCAGTGATCCAGCAGTGGAGGTATGCCAGAGCCATTCACAGTAATCAAGCAACCAGAAGATCCTTCTAACTTTGTCTTTATTACAGATGAATTAGTCTCAATATGTTAGGACGTCTCAGCTGAAAAGGAAGCGCTTAAAGCAAAGGTACCGACAGTTGCTGGAAATAGGGCAATGGCTATGAGAAGGTACAGAGATGGTCTTCCTCCCGCGTGTGATTTTATTATTCCATTGAAATTAGAGTGCTCAGCAGATCAATTTACAGAATTCCTCTAAACAAAGAAATGGCCAGTATTTTTTTTTTTTTAAATCAGATGTCAAACAAGAGTTGAAGGGAAATACTGTTAAACAAACAAGTTTAATCATCTCATTTACAGGCCAGAATGTATTGGCATGATCTTCACCATCTCATTAAAATTGTCCTACAGCTCCATCTGACAGGTCATGGCCTGTAATATACTGCCCTTTTTCCTCAATGTAAGCTTCAAAAACTCAAGTAACATGGAAAAGTGCTGCCTACTACGTACAGATATACTTAAAAAATAAATGAAAGGTGATTCATAAAATCAGAAAGTTCCTTTCCAAAAGCTAGTAAATTTTTGTGGATAAAAGGACACTGACTGTAACAGGTGTGTATTTTTTGCGCAAGAAATATTCAAGCATTATGAGCTTCGGTCTGTTCTGGAAAAATTCTGGTCTATTCTGCAGAAAGCAGAAATAAGAGTTTCATAAAAGATAAAGTAATATGTAGAAGATGCTTTATCAAACCTAAAGGAAATTGCTCTATTAGAAAACAGATTGCTGAAGAATTTTATCTGGTGCCAGAACCTTCTGTGAGATGTTTATTAGCTATTATTTCTATGTTAAAGCTGTCATACAGCTACAAACCAGCCTAAGCATATAATATTAGCCCTCTATTGGAATGCTTCCAATTGAAAAGAACTGGGCCCGTTTTTAGCTTCGCAATCGTAAAATAGCCAGAAGGAAAGCAGAAGAAGTGTAATTTTGCAGCCATATAATTTTGCAACAAAAAAGACTTTGAATGTAAAGGAAAAATGCAGACCATTTGCTCAGCACAACAATTTATATAGTAAAAGTCCTTTTACAAGAATTTCTTTTAATATGACAAAAACAGCACTAGAATACCAAGGTTACAAAGTTTTATGCTTACAAGTTAGGGAGTTCTAAACTTGAAATCATCCATCAGCACTATGACAGTCTTCAACTAGATATCTAAATAGTTGTTCTTTTTTCCCCATAGGCTAAAACTTACTCACTCGGTGGACAGCTTTTGAGCATTGCTTTTTATGATCAAGCATTCAACATATTTGCCCCATGGATTATTTATTCCCCTCTAAACAAATTCACCAAACTGAATGAAGAGTACCTTTCTTTTTGGGTGTTTAAATTATCCTTTACCTATAGTATCTTGAACCTAGAAAGGACTAAGATTCCTGAGCCCTAATTAATTCCCACTTGAATCACCAACATCTGATCTGTGATCCTCAAGCTTCAGGCTGGCTGCTGAAAAATCCTAGAAGTGCCAAAAATTCGTATATATCTCAGCTTTGACAATAAAGTTTCTCAGGAGCTGAAAATTCTGCTTTGGGGAACAAATATGACTTCCCAGCCTTGCACGGTATGAAGCAGACTGACTTCCATTCTCCTTGAAGCCACAAAGTAAGCACTTCCTAACTGATGTTACCTTAGATAGAACACCTGGTACTTAGGTTTATATCACACCTAACATCAGACAGCAAAATCAGTAGCTGCCTTTCAAACCTGTGACAGTGGCCTTTCTTCCTCCACCTCCCTCCCTCCTACAGCAGCTGAATGATCAGAGAGCGTGCACAAATTTCTGTGACATAACCGGAACTGTCCCTGCTCCAGAGGAAGAATGAACATGATTTCCTAAGGTAGTGATTAAAGCAAGCGCTGAGCCAGGGGGTGGATGGTCGAGAACTGGGCCCTGTCTCTTTTCAAAGGATAACTTCAGCCTTCTATCAAGTTATTTTAAAGCATACAATAAATTAACTGTTTTCTGAAAAAAGAGCATTTCTGGCTTCCCAGCCTTTGAACCAATAACTCTTCTGTCGGGTTAGAGAGACTGACTGTTCTCTCTTTTTCTCACTCAGTGAACGTAGAATACTTCCAAACATAATGGAAACCATTGTAATAGAAGTTAGGGGAATGACAGAACATAGGAGAGGTCTATCCGAACATGCCGCCTCTGTCCCTTTGAAGGCATGGCTTTTACCACCTGGTATTCATTTGCCGTATGATAGATCCCTTGGAACCTCTTCTACTGAAACTTTCAGTACATATAAAAGAATTGGGGATTTTCTATGCCAGAAGATAATATTCCTAAATCTTTAAAGCCTGAGAAAAAAGGCGTAAGTTAAAATATAGTACAGCCTCAATATTTCCTGGTGAACATTTTTGATAGTCACAAATTTCATTGACATCTGACTCCTATTCAGAGAAAGTGAAATTTGTCTCCGGGCTACAGATTTAGCAAGAAGGCACTGCAGTCTTCCTGTGGCACTAGGCCAAGCTTTGTTACAAGTATTAATTTCTTTTCACAAATCACCTGTGACGTGAGATGGCATTATTACTTACATTTTACACATCAGATACTAAAACCAAAATGGCCAAAAGAGAAAACTAGTTTGGCATCCTCAGGGACAAGACTTAATAGCTTTTTAATGTTGAAAAAACAGCTGTCATTAATCTCAATTGTCTAACAAGGCAGCAGAATCAAGTGTTTGGAGTTAAGAACCCACAAAATCAAAACTATACACTAGGCATTTGGCATTAAGAGATTTATCCAATATTAGGAATCCTTTTGTTTAAGAAGTTGTTAAAATCTAGGTTTCCTGAGCACTATTCAGTTACCTTAAGACAGTCTCTTCTGTTCCCATAATTCACTCCCAAACACAGTCTCGTACTTTGCTCTGCTGAGAGTTACTACAATAGCTACTCTACAAGGAAGAAAAAGACTGATTGGACAGCATTATTCTCACAATCATGCTTTTCAGGTTCTGAGGTGAAGAATGAGCACCACGGAATTGTATAATTATTACTAAGCATTTGAAAATTATGACATTTGAATTGTTAAAAAAAATTGTTTAAAAAAATTCTTCTCAGGAGAAAACATTAAGCACTAACATGCCAATGTTAGTTAAAACAAGCAAGAGTCTTCCTATTGTGTCATAAGAATACCAGTATAAACATGGACTGACGCAAATTATTTGCAATTAATTTTAGATATCCCTAGCCTCTACACATCTCGAAGAAGGAATCAGGTTCACTACATTCTATGTATGTACTCTTGCCTTGTGGTCAACAAACTGAACTTTAATCAAGGGAAAGAATCAAATTCTGGTCTCTGCCTTTAAATCTTTGATTCTAGTAGTGCTAAAATAACTACAGCTATTCAGCAGGTTTTGGAAAATTAAATTTAGACCCAAGAACTTGGTGATAATTCAAAATCATTAATTCCTATTGAGTCAATTTTCATGGGACCAATTAAATGCATGAAGTTGCACATATGCTGGCATTTTTTAATGACCTGATCACATTTTTAGCAGTAATATACCTTTACAAATAAAAATATGAGCCAGCTTAAAACCCAGCATCACCAGTAATTATAGCCTTACTTCCAGAAGAAACGTTATGTTGAACAGAAATGTAAGCATTAAATGTAAACAGGTTTAATCTGCTAATTTATAGGGATTTTATATATTTGGGTTCTACATTGTACCTTGAAAGATTCCTCGTCTCCACGGAGATACACTCAAAGTATAAGCGACTGTATCATCTGGTTCTACAGTAATAACAGGTGCACCACCCACCATTGAAAGATCCGAAGATACCTGGCGAAGAGAATTCACAAAGAGGAAAAATCATCAAAAGCAAGTTACAGTTGCAAGAACGCTATAGACACAATATCCATTCTACTTGCTTTGAAAAGTAGAGTATGATATAAAGTATACTAGTGGTTAAGTCCTAACTTTTATGCACATGAAGAGAATACATACTGTAAGAGTAGTGCTGGCATATACAGATCATATCAAGCACAAATCTTGAAGTCATTACTCAACGTGAGTAAAAGTATCTCGCTTAGACCATGAACTACTTACATATGCGTAGTTGCACAGTCAGGCCCTTAATATTTTACATGCATTTTCTTTAGAAGTGTAACAATGAGGTTTAACAAGCAGTGATCCATCTAACTAGATAGAACAAAGCAAAATCCGAAGTGTTGTTTTAACATCAATTGCTATACCTCAAGTGATATTAAACCATGCTTTTTGATATGTTGTATTTTGTAAATGACACGTATGTGATGGCATACACAGTAACCATTTGAACAATGAAAAGACCAATACAATTTTGATATGCTGAATTTTAGATTTTGTAAACTATAAAGGTGATTGCAGGAATATAGGCTGAGAGTATTTTTTAATTGCATCTCATTTCTTTGTCGCTTTTATAAGTTTGCTAAAGACAGACTCTGATCAGCTGCTCATGGAAGAGACATTCAAGTCTGAGGCATTACCAACCACAGCTGATGATTATCTGCTTAAGTCACTGGTTGTGCAGAAAGCCGGCAGGTGGACTGCGTGAATGGTTCTGCTCACACCCTCTCTCCTGTTATCTCTGCCACTGGGTGGAGGAAACTACTGCCGAGTAATAGTATTTTAAATTGACACTGCAATTTCTGCAGCAGACATCTGACTACAGGTGACGATTTTCCACTGAGGCATGGAGTCCTTTTAAAAAATATTTTCAGGATATCATGTAGTACTACAGCATGCTGAAATTTCTTATTACATTAAATACTAAAATTGTCTCTGTGTTGTTTAGGTGAATTTTGAGTGCAATCACAAGTCAAGTCAGAAAGGCTTGATTTTTTTTTTCCCCAGTTTGTTTATTCATTTCATGAATGACTACAGCTAGCCTGTCAAGCATCTAAGCGGAGACTTGTATTCTACGAAGATGTCTTTTGCAACAGTAAAAGCATTAGATGCATGGAACTTCCTCTCCAAAGTTGCTTTTTTTTTTTAAGTAAATAAGTTTTATTCATATTTTCTGTAGAAAAAAACAATTCTAAGACCATCTTGTCTTCTATTACAGCCAACCATTGCCGATAACATTCGTCCTCTCTGGGGTACTTATGTTAATATAATCCTTTGTTCGAGTGCTAGGACAATCTGGAATTTCTAATCCAAGTTACAGAAGAAAAAAAAAGTAAGGCAACAATCTTCCTCTTCCCCAATAAATCTGCATTTCAAGCTGGATATTAGAAGTCCAACAACCAAAAAGAACAGGAGAAGAGACTAATTGTCAAGAAAAAAACAGGCCAAAAAGAGAATGATGGAAAGCTTTGTTGGAAAAAAAAAAAGAAAAAAAAACCTAACAATAACATACAGAAAGCATAGGAAAAGAGGGGCTGCTACACACTGAGGATAGGGAAGTTTCACTTCTGTTGGGAATGAGTGGAATGCACCTCACTCAAAAGAGAGAAGCAGCAATATGTTTTACTGAGGTCAATTAATTCGACAGAACTTCACACAAGATAAAGAATAAATTAGGCATGATCCTACATTTATGGACTACTCCATCTCAGTTTACAATGAAGTTAGTAGTATAGACGAAAGTAAAGGCTAAGTACCTAAAAAATAAGGATAGGATAACAGAAGTAACAGCAAATGATTAGGGATAGAAGTAAGATTAATTAAAATGACTTTTTTTTTAAGGAAAAAGTAACACAGAGCAGATGCAAAAGTAGGATAAATGTGATTAATTTAAATTGGATAAAATGCAGTAGGGTAATACAGCTTCTGTCAAAGACTGGACATATCAGACTAGTTTCTACCAAAAAATGTCAAAGTAAAAGGAACACTACTGGTATAGTTGACTATAAACATGAAACAGATATGGATTGCTGACGAATAAATATGGACTGAAAGTTTGATGATTTTCCATCATTTAAGAGAAGTTTTGGATACCTTTCCAAATAGAGTAGTGAATTAACAGAAGCTACGTGATTTTAAAATGATGTTGTTAACCTTAAGGACGTGACTGTATAACCAAACAGGAAAAAGTTGATGATAAGCAATGAAGTAATGATAGTACATACATGGGCACTGTTTCAGTGTTTGAATCCAGGTGCCCATATCAAGAGACAAGAAGGAATTCTCCCTTCCCTCCCCCGCATCAGATTGGTAAGATTGCTAAGTTTTTTGCTTTGCTCTTTTCTTAGTGTTGGACATGGCTCACTTCCTAGGATCATCTGGTATGTTTACATAACAAGGGCACTGCTGTTTCAGTGCTCAAAGACACTGGTGATCTCAAACCTTCCCACACTTTTCCAGAAACACATTACAGTTGTCATCTATTTTTGAGGGTCCCATATTTTGTTATAGAGCTAAGAAAGATTTTGTCTTTCATGGCATAGGAGTCATGTGGATTAAATGTTCTGTGAGTCTAGCTAAACTAGGTATTTACTACATGACTGCCTGTAATTCTGGGGGGTGGAGACCTGCTGATCCTTCTGGTCCCGTCTAGTATTATATTTCTACTAAGCATTAATCGAGTAAGTCCATTTTCTCCTTGCATGAATTATACACACACACATATATGTACAAATATATATACATAGTATGCTACACTGTTTCTTGAGGAGGCTTCTTCTTCCTTTTGTCAGTTTTTTTGTTTAATAGGAATGGGATGAGAGACGGGCAATGGACAGGTAATCATATCTGCTTGTCACCCCACCTTATGAATTTCTTACTGGTCAGAACCACCAGAAACTAACAGTTCTCAAATTTGGCTAGATTTAAAAACAAATAAAAAATTGGGCACCTACTTCTGAAAAGTATACGCTTATTTTCTCCACTGAGCTGTAACCTACCCCTGTAAAGGAAGGTAATATTTTCACTCCTGGATAGAGCCCGAAATGTTTTTTCCTTGACAGTGGATAGCCTTGCCATGCATACTTTATGACTGAACTCCATCAGTGTTCACAAATTAGGCAATTTTCCATGGATATCTCAAGTCTGATTCATGCTGATCCCATCTATAAGACCAGAAAGGCACTTATTCTAACACTTTTTTACCAAATAACTAGGAATTTAGGGCACTGGCCAGACCTGTAGATCTTGGAACAAGCCCCTTGGCCCCAGTCTGCTCAGATTGAAGAAATTAACTAAACATCCATAGAGAAAATATCTCTCACTATTTTACTACTGGCCTGATTATATGATTCTCCGTTCCTTTTGCTGGCTCTTTTAGAGTTCTGTTGCTGGGTGCCTGCTTTCTCCAGTTAGACAGAGAACCCAGATGGCTGTCTAAAACTGTGGATTTCAAGGCAAGAAGTGTCTAAAAGAAAGCAACCAGCAGCTCAGAACTTTGTCACCTCTTTTATTCCTATTTATGAAAGTTTCCTAAGGCACTGAAGGGGTTGTTCTTTCACAGCATGAATTTAACCATATAAATCCTCTGAATCTCTTTATTGTTGTTCAGGAGACTTCCCAGGGTTAGGAATAACCTTGCTTTTAACAATCTAGAATCATACGCATGAGCTTTTGTGCAAATTTTTATTATTACATGCATATATGACAGGTATAAAAATGATACTGTTTATATTAATTTAAAAGCTCAGTTTACTTTTAAGGTCTTTTTTTCTTCCATCACCACTCTAATCCTTAATGAAAGCAAAGATTCATCTTTACATACATTCTGCAGAAATCATGCTGGAATGATAGATCTGCAGATTTCTGATTTCTCTTCTGACTACTTTAAAATAACTGAAGTATGTATTTTGAAAAATTCAAAAATTATGCTTGACTACAGTAAAACATTTAAAATGGCTGTTGTAAATTCTCCCATTTTCATGAAAACTCTAGAAGTTAGGTGCCAGACATCAGAAGCTAGTTTACAGATGCTAGCTTTCTAAATGCATAGTATTTTCCCACGAAAAATCATGCAGTTTTTCACTGTAAATTGTTGTGCATCTCCACTGCTCCCTTGGTAGTAAATGAGTTCATTACTAATTTATAGAGAATGGAATCCTTTTGTAAAGACAGAGGTAGACTGGTTACCTTGAGATAGCTCTAGTTAACTCCTTATCTCTGTGCATGAGCTCTCTCTTCATAATTTGTCATTCATTCATTTGATCTATTTAATCTTTTCACCTCTCGAACTCTGGAAATCATTTAATGCTACTTGAAATGTTGCTAAAATTTGTCAATTGATTTTGCTCTTTGTGCACCTCTAATTCTCCTTCTTTCTTTCCATGGGTTTTCCGCTGTCCACACCATATCTTAACAGTAGCTGGACTTAAAAAAAAAACAACAACTCTTTTTCCACCTGATAGTGTTCTTTTCCCCCCTTGTGTCTAAAATTTAGTCTTCTGTGGAAAGGAACCTGGGGGTCCTGGTGGACAAGAAGCTCAATATCAGTGAACAGTGTGCTGCTGCGGCAAGACGGTTGCATCAACTGGCTGGGTTGCATCAGCAAGGGCATCACCAGCAGAGAGAAAGAAGTCATTATCCCACTCAGTGCTTGTCAGGCCACACCTAGAATGCTGTGTTCAGTTTTGGTCCCCGCTATGCAAAAAAGATGTGGACAGGCTGGAGAGGGTCCAGAAAAGGGCCACAAAGATGATCAAAGGACCGGGAAGCCTGCCATATGAGGAAAGGCTGAGAGAACTGGGTTTGTTCAGCCTTGAGAAAAGAAGGCTTAGGGGAGACCTTATCACCATGTTCCAGTGTTTAAAGGGTGCCTCCAAAGAAGATGGAGACTCCCTTTTTACAAGGAGTCAAGTGGAAAAGATGGGGGGTAATGGGTACAAGTTACTCCTGGGGAG